TAAAAGTTAAATGTTTAGCAGTGAAAAATGTTAGGCAACTATTCAGATTTTTGCAGTGGCCACTGTTTCCTCAATGGAAATTTCCTCAGTAAAAATACTTAAAAAAATTAATGTAAGAAAAACAGATTCTAGGGTGTGTTCTGATCCTAAATCACAGCTGCATGGAATTACATGCATAGGTATAAACCTCCAAGCATTCCTGTTGCTTCTGCTGTGATGCCACATACGCTTATGCCTACTTCTGATTTTTACTTTTAGGTAGTGCTGTAATATAAATATTCAGTATTGGGAATGAAAAAGAACTAACAATAATTCATGATATATTCAGTGTTTACCATTCAATTTTTATAGTACCTGTCTTAACAAGAGTTCTGAGGATCAAACAGTGAAACTTAAATTAGTCTGCCAAGCTTTTCTAAATCTATGATCTAAGCAACCCTTCTGCTCCATAAATTTCTTTGAAGAATCTACAAAAGGCAATTAAGAACAGGAAGTTCAAACATTTTATGCAACAACTTGCATGCATAAAGTTCCAGAGATTAAAAAAAAGTATTAGTAATCATTGGAAAGGAGAATTGGCTGGAAGATCGCACTCAAAGAGCTGCAGTCAATGGCTCAATGTCCAAGGGGAGAGCAGTGACAAGTGGTGCCCATCAGGGACCAGCACTGGGACCAGTACTATTTAACATCTTTGCTGACAGCATGGACAGTGGCATTGAGTGCACCCTCAGCAAGTCTGCCAACAACACAAAGTTGCATGGTGCGGTCAACACCCTGGAGGGAAGGGATGCCATCCAGAGGGACCTTGACAGGCTTGAGAGGTGGGCCCAGGCCAACCTGATGAAGTTTAACAAGGCCAAGTGTAAGGGCCTGCATGTGGGTTGAGGCAATCCCAAGCACAGATACAGGCTGGGCAATGAGTGGATTGAGAGCAGTCCTGGGGAGAAGGATTTGGCCATGTTGGTGGATGATAAGATCAACATGAGCCAACAGTGTGTGCTTGCAGCCCAGAAAGCCAACCATATTATGGGCTGCATCAAGAGATATGTGACCAGCAGGTCAAGGCAGGTGATTCTGCCCCTCTACTCTGCCCTTGTGAGACCCCTCCTGGAATATTGTGTCCAGCTCTGGAGCTCCCAACACAAGAAAGATGTGGAGCTGTTGAAGCAAGTCCAGAGGAGGGCTACCAAGATGGTCAGAGGGCCGCAGCATCTCTCCTGTGAGGACAGGCTGAGAGAGTTAGGCTTGTTCGGCCTGGGAAAGAGAAGGGTCTGGGGACACCTTATAGCAGTCTTCCAATACCTGAAGGGAGCCTACAAAAAGGCTGGGGAGGGACTTTTTACAAGGGCCTGTAGTGATAGAACAAGGGATAATAGGTGGAAGCTGGAAGAGCATAGGTTTAGACCAGATATAAGGAAGTTCTTTACTCAGAGTGTCATGAGGCACTGGAACAGGTTGCCCATGGAAGTTGTGGATGCTTCATCGCTGGAAATGTTCAAGTCCAGGTTGGATGAAGCCTTGAGCAACCTGATCTAGTGGGAGCTGTCCCTGCCATGGTAAGGGGGTTAGTACTAGATGATCTTTGAGGTCCCTTCCAACCCAAATCATTCTATGATTCTGTGATTCTATGCATTTATGGGACAGGCTCTGAAGTAGTACTAATCCTGAACCATAAAGCACAAAAGTGCTACAGATCTTTATTTCATGTAATATAGAAGTGGTCATTGACATCTAATGGAGTTGGAATGTGCTTCTTTTAGCTTCACAAAACAACATCTCAAAGTGTCTGAGCTGTATGAATTAGAGAATCATGGAATAGCAGGTTGAAAGAGACCTCAAGAATCACCTGGTCCAATATTTCCTGGCAGAAGTATGGTTTGGACAGGGTGGCCCAGCAGCCATCTGAATCTTAGATGTCCAATATGTAGATGGCATATACCTTGAAATGAAGAAGTGTTTCATACTCATACAAGTTTATTTTTCTATTAAAACCAAAAACTAGTGGAACAACCTGAAGAAAGACACATCTGCAATGAGGCCTTAGGGACACCAAGTAAAAAGCACTTGTGTAAGTGACCACCTCAAGAGTAGAATATTTTTGTATTAAAGTTAAGGACATTAGGTTTTGAGAGATTTTGCCACTGCTAGATGCAAGGTGCCCTTTTAGATACGTAACTCAATGGAGCTTTTAAGGATATAATTAAGCCATTTTTTTTTCTCTATTAATGTTAAATCCAAACTAGAACTGGTCCAAGACAGAAAATAGCAGTAGTTCCATTCCTATAGCAAATATTATTCATAAGTAAATTCTTAGGAAAAAGAGGGGGGCTGCTGCAGCTTAACTTCTATTTTGATAATTTCTTGGGGCTTCAGGCAGGTTCCTGATTTGAAGAATGGCTGTTAAGACACAGCCTAGAATTCAGAAATGCAGTATTTTCTCCTGTCAGGAGATGCTGCTGCTGCATCCACACAGATTGACAGAACCTGTAAAAGCTAGACTCTCGATCAGGAACCAGAAGGGCTGGACTAACCTCATCTGAAGAACCTGAGTTTATTATCTTAGGGAGGGGTGAAGGAGGGCAACTACTGTAAGCCCTCAGTATCTCATGTGACATTTAGAAGCTTTTCAAAAGTCCTACAGATTTCTCTGAACATTTTTTGCTGACACTGTTGAAAAACAAAAGCAGATCACAATACAGCACTTTCCTTGGTAATGTCTTCTGAGTTGTCGTATCACAGTAGTCCGAGTGGTCTAGAATTCTGCTTTTAATTTCAGCTGGTTCTTTAATCTTATTTCCTAGTACATGGTGATTTATATCTAAGCAGCTAACAGCATAAAGCAAAACACAATATCAGTTTAACAGAGTAATCAGAGGCTAACTTTAACAACGTGAGGCTAAACCACTTCCGAAAAATGCCATATGTCACTGCAGATTGTCTATATGACTATGTGCATACATGGAATATTCATACAAGATATATGTATACAGTAAACATATGAAACACATTACGTTAAACATTTGATTCCTGTTGAGACCAATGGAAACTGAGGTTTCCAAACTCCACACAAGAGTTTCTCACAGCATCCAGTCATAGATATCTATTTCACAGGGAAACTGTAGCCTTTCCTCCAGAGCTCTGTAGGTTTGGTTCCATAGGTAGTTCAGAAAATGAGATTTCAAAAAGCTCTGTCTCTTTTTTTATTTATTTCCTCTTTACTCCACAATACTGGTTTTGATTCAGAACTCTTTTATGGGGACCATTTCTATTTTCTTTGTCAGTAGGCTGATAAACTATTAATATGGAGAAAAATCTTTTCAATACATAATATTCCTAGTGGGTCATTAATTTTATGCTGAAATAAAAGAACTTTTTCCCTTTTTCTCCTAACAGCTACTCCTGATTTTTCTGTATTAGACTAAAATTCTAATCTCTTTATTACTGCAACGACTTTTCTAAAGCCAAAGAAAGACTGATTATTCCCAGTCAAGCTTATAGTACAGAATGTATGGTTAAGGGAAATGGGATTTCCACAAATATGTTATCCTCTTCCAACACATTAGTGTGTTACCCTTTGATTCTATGCTACTATTTGTTCTTTCTCCTATGACATTAATGGAGGAAGACTTCAGACTTAGGGGCATCTTGAAATAAAATGTTAGACCTGTAGGCCATAGACTGGTGAGATATTAAACATTTTTTTTTTACTTCTTTCTACATCACTTTCAGAATGCGGAGAAATTACACAGCTGACCACACTGCAGCTACTTAATGCTGCTGTAAATAGATCATAATAAGCATGTGGTATACATGATTGTCTGTGCTGATAAAAGAAAGGGTGTGGATTGTTCAGCTTCAGTGGGAGGGGAACAAGAAAAAAAGACCTTCCTGATTGCAGCTGCAAATGGTAGCAATTTTTCCTTCCTGCATTAATGAATGTAATTCATGTAATGCATATTACTTCATTCAATAGCAAAATTCTCATGTTCAGTTCACAGATATAAAGTATTTTAATTAAGAATATCAATGAGTAAAGACAATCCACTTCCAGAGAAATGCAAAGACAGACACTTCTTTGGCCATGTAGAAGGAACTGTGATGTGAATATAGTTCATTAGTGTAACAAATTCACTTTTCTAAAATTCTTTACCAAAAGAATACCCTTTAAGCCATGTTCTGTTTTATTTGTCTGTTTTCCCCTTTTAATCTTCCTTCACACGCAGTATTTGACTTCAAATCTGCATTTTACATTCTCTAGTGTTCAAATCACTTCATCCTCTATAAACATCACAAATTAAAAGAGCTTTCAGTATATGAACTTGAACACAACATACACAAAACTAAAATAATTCATTGTCTAGAGACCATAACAAATTTTAATATGCATTTACAGAGTAAACAGAGGGCTGAAAGGGTCAAACCAGTGGAAGTGAAGGAACGTATTACAAAATCCACACTGAATTACAAATTAAAAAGTGATGCTTTGTCAAAAAAGGAAATAAAGATGTCTCTTGGTGGCACGACATATAGATAATATTAAAAACTGGCTTGCATAAGGACCAAAGTATGTCTACGCTGAAGTTATATCACACAGACTGTAAGCAATATACAGAATTTAAGTTAGTTTTGCATATACAGGAGTTGCAAAATTAGAGAAAACACACTGAAATATAGAACGCACACACACAGAAAAGAGATGTATATATATAAACCTCCACGCAATCATCAGGGGTTGGCCTAAGTCAGTAATTGCCACCATTGAACAAGACGCAAACAAAAAAAGACATGGGAAAAAAACCCACAAGGGAAAAAGAATAACAAAAAACCCCCTATAAACAAAAGAAAAATATCCTAATCTGTTTTCCAGAAACAACATCCTCTAATCTGCTTAACTTCTTTGTAGAATTTCTATTCTCCTCTCTATTCCTCATGCAAAAAAAATCCCAAAAACAAAAACAAAAAAACCCCCAGACTTTTTGATAAAGTTGTGGGGTGTTTTATTTGGGTCGATGTTAAATCACTTTGTTTTGTTTCATTATTTGGCCTCTGTTTGCTTCCAGGCTGGAATGGTTCTTTCAGCGTAGGAAACCAAATGTCATCCATGGTTAATTCTGTAATACTGATGACTCGCAGGCCAACCCCTGAGAAGTCAAGGATGAGGCTTCTCCTTGCCGAGAGAAAAGGAAACTAGGTCTTGCTGTTACAAAACGTTTGATTACATCACACCAGTTCTCTCCAAAGAAAAGATCAGTGATACGCCAAAGAAAATAAGATATATCAAGAAAACATGTGGTATCCTCTTCTTTTTATAATATTTATTTATTTATTTATTTTATTTAGTATTTTTGTTTGTACTTCCTGAAGAAGGTGCTCCTTGTGTAGAGATTTAGAGTACATTGGGTGCAGAGTGGTGGTTGGAGGTTAGGGTCAACTTTGCTGTCCGCTCCGTGGATTTTACAGGCGATTTGCTCTTTGCTTTAAGAAGAGAAAGTGATATTGGAAAAAGTCAGCACTTTTAGATTAAAGCAAAGCACCCTTCACAAAGCCACAAACAAGAAGCAGGACAGAAAGTCCATGGCTTGTAGCTATCCTCGCACCTGCGGAAGAAGTTATAAGATATTCGCTCATCTTGCAGATTTCCAATGCTCCTTATAAGGCTGTTTTAAACACATACATTTATATATTTAATTAGCTCGCCAGGTTGGCTCTGGTGCCCATGAATGTCTTGGCATGCACTGCAAATAACAACACATACAAAGTATTTCAGTCCCAGGAAAGTTTTTGTTTTGCTTTGCTTTTGATTCTTGTCTTTTTAAACCAAGTTATCCAGTGAAACCATATAGCAAGAGGAAAAAAAAACCCAAACACCTTCCACCTCAGAGTGCTCTTACAAAACCATTTCCATCATCACATCACTGACTGATAAAAACAAAAGTCATCTAGTGTTTTCTTGTAAAACAGTGGAGATATTGGCAAATTACTGTGCTATTTACAAGAGGGAAACAGAATGCTAAAAAGTGTGGAGTATTTATTTTTGAGAAATTATATTTTCCCAGATCTCTTTTTCTTTTTAAAAAGCTATGAAAACAATGGCACACATCACTATTTCTAAAGGCATGACTTTATATTTTAAGTATGTTATCAGAATAAAAACATTCAGAACTAGACTAATTAAACGACATGAGTGTTTAGGTGTCCTATATACCAAGTTTCAGTGCTTGATAAATCCCTGTGTTGTGAAGAATTACATTCAGAATGTGAAATATGTTATTTGAGGTGAAAACCATAAACTTAATTTCATTACACTATAAATAACGGTTCCAATTATAACAGGTTAATGCATGATTAATAGATTTTCTATCTGTGTTGTATACTTGGAAAGGATGAATGTTACTGATGTTAACAGGCACCAGCTCTATAACAAAGTACTAACGGTGTTGTAAGCCATCCATAATCATGTTGGACTTTTAATAACTGGTTATTTTTAAAAAATCTATTAATCATGCATAAGCTTTTTTTGTGAATAATTTAATATTAAACTGAATGCTGGATTCCACTGCAATCCCAAAAATGCACATTTATCTTTTCATCAAGAATATATACAGTGAAAGCAAAAAGAACTCAAGGCAAATGCTAATTTCTTAAAGTTTTGAAATTTTTATCAATAAACACTTTTCTGTGCCTGCTAACTGTTCCTAAGTATAGCAAGACGTATTTCTGTTCCTGTCTTTATCAAGTTTTTCGCCTTGTACATGAGGATTAAACTAAATCCCAGATCTCTGAACACTGCTTCCTTTTGTAAATACATAGTATGAGACATTGCATACATACATAGTAGTTGCTATAAAAGACTTAGTCCTCTGTCACATACAAGAGCTTCTAAGTAACAAGGATATTTCAATTATCCATGTGTGAACTGAATTTCTAAATGAATATTAACTTTTAAATGGAAACATGTCTCAAAGACATTATTAGGACTTTTCAAAGAAGTTCAAGGGAATTCTTAGGCTAGTTCCTACTGAACGTACGCAGGGGTGGGAAGCCTAATTTTCTCTCGCCCATCTGATCATGCCACCCTACACTGCGGTAGTTTGCTGGGCTCCTCAGAACACTTGTTCTGTATTAGGAACGAGCAAACACACAAGCAAATTTGCTTTAACTTCTTACTGTGGGTTCTTCTCATACAGGCAGTATTTGCAAGTTTGTGCCCAAGGGCTGAGTTCAATTTCTGGTTCTGGCTTTATAGCTGCATAATGTTGCTCTCTCTTTTATATAAGGTGTAAAATTTGTCATCTGACAGATTTTATAAAGTCTCTTCTTTCCCTGACTAATTTAGCAGAACTTAGTTAGAATCTGTGTTAGTGTTAGATCATTTCGTGATGTATTGAACGATTTTCACTGATTTTATTTAATTTTTTTTTCTTTTGATTGAACTAGAGAAATGCATTGCTCAAGACAATTCTAAAGAGGTCTTCGGAGATCCATTTCCTCTGCACAAAATATGTACAATGCCAACAAGGATAAATACTCAGAAGAGTCTCATGGATATTTTTAAAAGGGCTTTTTTAACAATGGCATTATAATTTGAGGATTTGAAAGCTGTAATATGTGAAGAGAAACAATATAATAGAAAATAGGTTTGATGAACTATTTCACAGTGGGAGAAGAAGCACCATAACATATGCAGGCAAAGTACCATTTTTTTTCTCTTTTTTTCATTGTGACAATCTGTAGATCCCAAAATTAGCTGTTTTTATTTATAATGTTCAGTTGCATATAATTTTCATATCACATGTTCTACATGCGTGTTCTACAGCAAGTTTGTTTATCTTGCAAGGGATTTAGGTCATAATACATGCAGTAAGTACAATCTAAATCAATACTGAACACATGAGAAAAGTTTAGGGAAAACAACTAAAACAATTTCTGCCTCTAGGTGAAGAGAGAGACTGTTAGAATTGTTGGAAATCTCTGACATAACAGTGTACTCTGCATGGTTCTGAGAACTGATTATGTCATATCAAGTCTCTATTACTGGCTTAATAGTTTCCAAAATGATGTCTAATCCAAACTGATAAATTTTCAGTAAAATATCCCCAATAAAATTGACTTGCAATATGCAGTGACATATGACTGTTAGGTGCACTCTCATCTTTTCAGTGATTCTTTGTGAAATACAATTGGAGTTTTAAAGACACTTAGCTTTCTTTCTTTTTTTTTTTCTTTTCTGGAAATATACAAAAGTACTGTATTTGTTCTCTCATAAACCCAAGTATTTCTTTAGATTTTGGAAGTACGAAAGCTGCAGACATAGAATAATAAGGTAGCAAAACCAAACCCAGTGTTTTTAGATTGCTTTCCTTTTCTATTCTGTTGTATTTGCTCATATACTATTATTTTTTTTTAATCTAAATAAAGGATTAGTGACCAGAACTAGATAGAAATTTCCATTTTGCCCACGAATCTAAAAGACATAGCATGTCCAAATCAGAGATTTGCTTTCACTGGTTTTAGGCTTAAGTTGGAGTACAGATCAGAATCCAAATCCAGATGTCTTGAAAATGCAAAGTACCCAAATTCAGAGTTTTCATGCAGATGTGTTTTGGGTATACAGTTCTGATTAGGTCTTAAATAGTATTACCAGAACTCTGAGCACAGTAATGTAAGTAAAAATCTGTGAATCTGGCTCCGCTGTTTCTAACAGTGTTTTCTAACTAACATCATGAGAGCTAAAAGAGATTTCACTGCAGGTTAAGGACACTGGGCAAAGCTGGACTACAGTTATATTACCCTCAAAGACAGTAACCTGGAAGAAGAATGGTAGTATGTGTGCATGCATTATTTCTACACTATTAGCTAAACTCTATTTGACATGTGCGTGAGGGATTCTCACTTTTTGACCTATCAGCCACTGGGATCTTGTTAAACTCATCCTGTAAGATGTACATGCCATGTGTTGTCTCGTTTCCTGCCACTGACATACATGCAAATGTCCATGAAATACTCAATACAAATGTTGTATTGCCAAAAGCATATGTTCATAAGTTTCTGTGCAACACCATGATAGAGTAGTTCATGCTATTAAACAATTTGAAACTGTGATTTATTCAATGTGTGGTTTACTTAAGTGCTAGTAAAACAGAGAAAAACAGTAGTAATGAATAATTGCGATCTTAGGGTTTAAAATCATAAAATAATCTCTGTCACAAATGCAGAACCCTATTACATGACTCACAGTATATGGACTAAATAGCTAAATATCAATTCTGTTCTGTTAATGAGATTATTTTTAGAGCCTCTAAGTATAAAACAAAGCCTGCAGAAATTATAGATTGTTAGTAAACCCTAACTGATCAGAAAAATAGTTACTCTGGGATGTAATAGTCTCCAGCATGCTGAGCCTCAATACCTGCCAGAGCCTCTGAAAACTGTATTCTTACAGATAATGCTTACAATGAGTAGCATATCATCATATAAAATACAGAACAAATCCGTGACTTCAACTTAGAAGTTTAGTGAGGGTATCCTTGAGTTTAATTTTCCTTGAGTTCCTTTAATTAGTAAGCCACTAATCACAAGAGAAGACTAATGACGGAGTCCTGGTTTTGTGCTGACCAGTACAAGAGAAATACAGCCAGTCACACAGAAGTATCATTACATGATGCCAAAATAACCCTGTGTATATGGGAGATGTACATTCAGCTTATGCTGAGTATGAGTTAATTTTGTTGTAATATTGATTTCTGAAATCATAGGGGTGTTAAAACCTTGAAAGTTTCATTTTTCAAGAATTTATGCTGATATTTTCCATATTTAAGTGCCCGGTTTCCTTTTTTTGCAACATTCAGCTTTGCTTTATAGCGTTAGATTTGAAATAGCCTTCTTGTCAGCCCGAGTTTAAACCACATGAAATTATAAATTTGCCCTATTTCCATGTAATGTAAAAGCTTGTGAAATATCTGCCTTAATTTTATTGGGGTTATTAATGAACTAAGATTTATTGGAAAACATTTGCAGTTTTACATACATAAAGATGGGTGAAACCAAGTTGATTTTACGTGAAGTTTTATTTGAATATGCTTCACGTATGTTTTAAATAAGTAGAATCTTCCTCTCTGGCTTACCAGTTTCCCCCTCAGGGGCCTGTAATTACTGCTCATGTGTCTTTTAAGGTTCAATCACCGGTGTTTGATTCTGGGGAACTGAATGACAGAAGATGAGCAGTAAGTATCGTATCCAAGCCTCCTAATGTAGATACTTTCTTAGGCTTCCAGTCCATCTTTCTCCATTGGCTGTACAGTAGTCAGCCTAAAATAGTGTGAATTGTTCATCAGTGTCTTGGGCAAACATATCATACAGGGCAAATGAATTCATCTTACATGCCAGAAGAAAAGTTACGGGTTTCTGATTTTTTTTTTTTAAAAAAACACCACTTCTGTTTCAAAATTCATGGTAATTTATAATAGGCTATTTATTGATTTTTTCTGAAGTCTACTTAGACTTCGTACTCAGTGTGTAGCTCTGTTGATCTGCTGTGTGTCCTTTTCCGCCAGTGATTCACAGAAGAGCAGGTGAGGAAGAGGGATGGGATCCTAGG